TAAATTGATATTTATTATTTTAGAAATAGGAATTCAGTAGTAAATAAATTAATTTTTAAGTAAATAAAATATTCAAAAACCTTGAGATATGTTCTTGAAATAAAGTCTACGTCTACGTAGTTTCTAATCTAAATTACCTAAGAATAAATATTAATGTCTTGAACAATTTACGCTATTTGCACTTGGCTGCTGTTTAATTATCGCGTTACTTATATCATAATCACCATTTCATAAAACAAATCTGTAACCTTTTAACTTGTTTTGTTGGGAATTTATTATTATGGTTATTATTTTTTTTTCCCGTGAATTGAAATTGAACTTGATTAATATTTTTTTGTCTCCACTGACGCTTAATTTTAAATCCATATTTTATACTTAACACGCGGAACGGAGTTTCAAATTAAAGCGCCAGTACAGAAACAACTGATCGTTTTGTTTCAGAATTGAAAGTTAAGTGGGTCAGGGATAGGAAAACCATGTGAATACAATGGAGAGCAAAATACGTGGATACATCGAGGGGAAGAGTAGGTACAGAGGTTAAAGAGTAGTATAGAGTTAGAGAAAGAGCCATAACGTCCAAACCATTTTCTAAACGCTGGTAGTAGACACTATGCAGTAGAGAAAACGGGTCTCGCGCTTCGATCGTTTTAACTTCTCTCGCTTCGTTATCAACGTTAAAATGTAAAGAAAAAAAAATAAATACAAGGTAAAAAAATTACGACGTTAGAATGCAATAAAATTTTTTAATTACCACGATTACTGCGAGATGAGGGTTGAAAAATTTTTTGCTTTTATTTTTTAAGAAACTTCGAGTGGAGCTTCAAAATGATGTACACATTACCTTCCATAATAGTAACACACATTTTCCTCTTGTACCTGTCATCTTAAACATGTCTCCTCATATGTCGTCGAATGGACTTGTCTCTATTTCGTAACTTCCATTTTTTGTTTTTTGTTAATTATTTTTACCACAAAAAATTGCACAGTAGCATTATCTTTCTGTTCTACTATTTATATTTTTTATTAATGTAGTATCGGATTTTATTGGATAGGATACTAAATGTTTATTAAAGATGTTATTATTAAGGTATCACGGGGCGGTTAAATTAAAGTGAGTATTTATTAGAAAAATTGACAGAGTTAAAAGACAGAGGTCTGTCGTACATCGAAGTTAAGTAGGAACTGCCTCTTCGAGTCCCATACAATTAGATCTTACTTACTACCTGGGTTTCTCACCCCCGCATCAGTCATACTTCGTTCTTACACTCTCGGTACTTATAATGTACATTTTTGCCACGAGACAAACCTATACTTACGTTCCCACGCATACGAATATTTTCTAAACTATCTTAACTAAACATCTGTTATTTGGGAATTTTTCTTAATCCCTTTATTTACAACCTTTTCGAAAAAATACTTACTGCTAAGTACAAAGGTGCAATAAAACAATAAAATAGAGAAACTTAAATCTAAAAATGACCATTCCACATTAATAAAAATATTTTTTTTCAATGTTGGTTGATTTATTCTATTTTATTAGTTAAATTTTTTTTACGTAGTTTTGACATTGAAATTAAAATAAAAAATACTAGATTTATTGTTGAAAATTTATAAATTTTATGAATATTGAGCGTTACTTTTATAGCTGACTTTCCTGTTTTGTTATCTTGTTCCAGGTGAGTGCCTCGTCCTCGTTCCAGAGCCAGAGCCGTCTACTAAAATTACAGCGTTATACGCTCACGGCATTTGGCGGGGAAATTTTAATACAGGTAGCGTAGTGAAAAAAATGATAAATTATCATATATCATACCGTATTTTATTTTACATATGATTTATTATCAAAATTAATTATACTTTTCTACATTATTATTCACATAAAAATGAATAATTTGTTAATTATGTTTTTATTAAGTGCGATAACGGGATCTGAATTTAGTTTTTTTATCTACTACATATTACTATATTACAGTAGTGCTGCAGTGTCTCTGCATCGTGCAGGCATTCACTCGTTTGAATAACTTTCAGCAGCTTCACTATGCAGATATTCGTATGTCCGACGCGTAAAGATCTAAGAGAATTTTTCACTTTACTTTGTGCTATTGCACAGGTCAAAAGATTCATGAAGTGAGGCTCTATTTTATAGAAAAAATTTCTTCATATCTATACCATACATGCATTACATTACATTAACTACCATACTATACGTATCATTTCATTTTCCGGACTCTAGCTTGATGGAACAGAGAAATTTTCGAAGCATATCCGTTTTCCGGAAAAGACATTTCGATCTATTATTTCTTCATTTTCTTTTTTTATTTTAAAATAATTTCCTGTATAGTACGGCACTAAAGTAACTAACCGCTGCCATTTTATATGAAAATTTAAGTTGAAAAAAATTTTTATTACCAAGTTTAGTAATATTTAGCAGAAGTTATGATGAATTTTGAGTAACTTGTTTTACTCGACATAACTTTTTACTCGATTTACTTAAAATAGAGCACTAAAAATACAAAATAACCAAAAAGATAAGGATAAACTTTTTAGTTATATTGTTATTAGAGTTGTATAAAACAAAAAACAAGTTTAGCCGCTTAGATTAAAAAGTAAATTACGGTTTATTGTTGCTATATTTCGTACATAAAAGTGAGACACAAATGATAAAATTTATAAATATGTAAGTTTAACAATTCAACAGTGTGCCTATGTATCACAAATATTTGCTCGGTATTGTACCTAAGAGTTTAAAAGGATATGTCATATGCGATCTGTATGTGCTGAAATGGTAAAAGGGGTTAAAAGGGGTAGGTCGACGAGTGCACTCGATATTTTATTGAGTAATGCTAATATTTAAATGGAAATTTGTTTCCACAACCACCCACAAAATGCTATATACTCAAAATGAAATATAATATACACATTTAAATATGACACTCACGATATACGTTACTTCAGTTTATGGTTGTTTAAATTAACATTAAATCATATTATTAACCTATGCGCCGTGTGAAAATAGGTGCAATGTTTAGCAGCGAATCCAATTTCTTGATACCCTGTCATCATGACGCCTAAATTATTATCAAGACACGAGTCTTGAGGTATATAATAATAATAATAATAATAATAATTCCGTCAAGACTTACTAGTTCCCGGCTAGCGACCTTAAGGGTTGATGTTAGAGATAAATTATGACAACGTGACAGCCGCTGCTCATGCTTTTACTTGATATTCTTCAGCCCGATATACCTATGTAGATGCGTATTCTCTGAGAGTAATGAGATAAAATTACTTACAATTAGTCCTCGTGTACTCTCAGGGAGTAGGGAAAGGTAGACTAGCACAAAGCGCTCATCATTCATCGCATTCCTTTATAATTTATCAGTTTATATTAAAGCTTACTTACTTTTATCTGCTAATAAAAATTTCTGTTATTTTTTCGTTCTACATTCTACTGAAGGAGTTACTAAGGAAAGAGGAAACTACTTAAGTGCACCATTATCGTTACTTTTAATTCTAATGAAATATTTTATTTAATTAATTCATAAAAGATTAATCTTTAAGCCGTAAAAAGCATCGTAAAATTCTCATTTTTAGATGAAATAATGCAGAGATGGATGTTTTCTGTTATAATCCAGTTTTTTGTTTATTTCAGTACCTTGCGCTGGTAAATATAAATCTAGGTTAGTCGGGGAGTCTGTTGAGAATCAAAACATAACAGAGCAGAGCAGCTGATCCCTGCTCTGTTGTATTCGCCGGGAGGGTACTTCAGCGCAATAATTTGCGGCCGGCTTACCTGTCATGTTGACCGCAGAGGGGGTCATTTACCCCTCATACCCTTTTCAGTTGGCATTCTCTGGCTAACGTCTGATGACAATGCGTGGTCATAAAGTACATATATCCGTATAGTAGGTTTAATGTAGATAGCTCACGGGTGAAGTGGTGAACTCAAGGCTCCCAAGTTGTTGGTCATTGCGTGCCGTCACCCTCTCTCTATTCCTCTGTTCTCCATTTTGCATTCAGTATTATGCAGTCTGCAGTTTGTAGTCTGCGTCCGCATGCTTTCTGGCTTGATCTATCTGCAAACTCTCGCTTAGCTCCACGATAGTCTTGATGTCTGTCCCTAGGTGCTGCTATATTAGACAGCATATACTGTCCTCATATCACACATGTGTTCGTATTTGTATTTGTATATATCTAGGGTGTTTGGTGTTATTGGTAAGAACGACTTGGGTGAACCCCGTGCACTGAATTAGTCGTCTAGAGAGTGTAAATGGCACTGTGGAATTGCGCGTAAATCATTGGCTTCGCTATGAGACTTTACCGTACTATACTGAGTGCTGAGTGCAAAGGTACATATATAGAGCACGACAGAATGCACAAAATTGCAGGAAAAAAAAGAATAAACACATAATACAATACGAATAATAAATAAAAATAGATGAAGAAAATATACTTGACGGCTGACGAGCGTGTGAAATGAAAAATCATAAAAAAAATTACGGCACGTATTAGATTTTCTGCAGTTATCTTGAAAAGTATTGTTCAGAAAGGGAGACACGATAGGAAAAATGATTTAAGTTCTTTGCTGGTGGTACGCATCTGTGGCTTTAGATAGTCGTTAGTCATAAATAATGTCGTTATTAATGTCGAGCATATCACTTTCATGATAATGCCGATGTTTAATATTAAATTTGATCGCGTTGAGAATCGCGTGACGAATATAGATATGCGATGATTTTTACCTTTTAGTTGAACAGAATTTGCTCATTAAATTTAGCTGATTTACTGTGACAGCGGGATTTAAAATTAATTATTATTATTATTATTATTATTATTATTATTATTATTATTATCGCTGTAAGTTTTCAATTGTTTACAATGATAATATTTTTCCTGTCGTATGACTTCTTATCAGTTATGTAGTGTTTTATTAAAACCACCCTCTTAACCGTAATGACAATCAGTTTTAATTAGAATTCTGATCAAGTTTCATTGACAGTATAATGGTTTATCTAAAAAATTTATTAAAAAATTGGAGTACGTGGCCGCAGTGGTTCGCCGCTTTTGACAGTAAATTTTATTATTTTTATTTATTGATAATTATTCATCAATTAAAATACTAAAATTAAATTCATTTCAACAGTATTTTTAATGGCCTTCGTCTCTGGTCTCGAAACTGGATGGGCTTCTCCGTCGTTAGCGAAATTAATCAGTATTAATTCATCATTACCAATAAATGAATATCAAGCATCATGGATAGCATCATTATTGAACACAGGACGTTCATTTGGTGCAGTATTAGGACTAATAAGTACAGAATACTTAGGAAGTAAAACATCACTAATTTATAACGCATATATACACGGAATTGGTATGATATGCTTATTGTATGTTTACTCAGTTAATTGGCTCTATGCATCACGTTTTATTGTTGGTCTTGGCTCCGGAATGTGGGCAAGTATATTTCCAATTTATATTGGGGAAATATCAAACCCTAAAATACGTGGTGCATTAGTTTGTCTTATATCCATTGGCATGCCAATAGGTTTTATATTCGGCAACATAATAGGTGCTTACACTGAAATGTGGATATTTGGAATAATTAGTTTAGTGCCAGTATTATTGTTCCTAATTTTGTTTATGTGGTTTCCTAAAACCCCCCACTTTCTTGTGCTGAAAGGCCAGATAGACGACGCACTGATTTCAATCGAATGGTACCAGCGTGACGCAAATGCAATTCTTGACTTGGTTTCGATAAAAAATTTCGTCGAGGAAAAACGATTTTTGAACGCTGCTGATTACATTAAATATCTAATGCTGCCATTCAATCGCATCGCCCTGATTAAAGTTAACACCGTGCATTTCTTGTTACAAATGAGTGGATTTTGCACCGTCAGTTACTATATGGAAATAATATTAACTCAAGCACAAGTGACATTGATGGATACTGCATTAGCAGTACCAACTATCGCGGGAACAGCACTAATAGGTGGTGTTATATCGATATATACCTGCGATAAATTAGGTCGGAAAGTTCTCTTAAGTACCAGCAGTATGTGTATAGCGTTGAGTATGTTTGCTATCGGGATCTATTTTCATCTATTGGATTCAAAGTTTGACATTATGTCGTACGATTCGGTGATATTATTTTTTTTCATAATGATTGAATTTTCTGTTTACTTGGGAATCGACCCCATATTAGGAACTATTAATAGCGAAATATTTTCACCAAACATCAAAATAATTGCCTGTTGCTTAACTAATTTTATGTCTGGGTTATTTGCATCCATCGCAACGCAATTTTATCAAACATTAGTTGACGCGATTTCTTTAAAGTGTGTGTTTTATTTTTATGGTATAAATATGACATTGTTAGCGGTGTTTGTGTGGTACGCTCTTCCGGAAACTAAAGGAAAGTCACTACAAGAGATTCAAGATATGTTGAAGAAAAAGTGATTGACTAAAAAAAGTTTTTGTATTCTCAGAATGTTAAATTTATTTTATATTATATTTGTAATCGAAAACATCTTTTGTACTTTATTATTGTTATAAGTGAAAAAATATATCATCTATTATTAATATTTTTTTTTAGATTTGGACTTGAAATTTATTGAAAAACTTTAAAATGTCACTTTACCTAGATATTGACATGGGTGAGAACAGTGGAATCTGGATGAAAAAAAAAATGTGTTACCCTATTTCTTTTTTTTTTCTCCCACACATAAGTTGACACTGTCATGAGGTGGTTTAGAGTCAAAAGTTTAAGTTCCAAGCTCGAGGAGTTGCCTCTTCTTTTTCCAATTCTTCTTCTCTTTCTATTTCTTCCTCTTATAACTTCTACGATGGATTCTGTTGGTAAAACTAGAAAGAGTAGATTACTGAATCGCGTCTTCGGGCTTCTATTTTCAACTCCTTTTTTGGTATCTCTATATTACTGTATATCATATATACATATCGAGTAATAAACACTACGGCATAAATAAGTAACAGCATGCATCATTCCGGTGCTAAATCGTTTGTGAATAATGGTGGCTAATATGAATCTTTCGGGACTTTATGAAACTACCTTAGTGTGTCGGTACTGCCATTAGCTTGAATCAAAGTTATTTCACCTAACCCGATAATACCCCGCAAAAGTTAACATTATTACAGTCTTAACAGTGTAAATTATTTTTGATGAAACACATCTCACGACAATTTTCATTATTATATTTCTGTTATATTTTATTATCTTTACGTAAACATCATGGCTAATAAATTGACAAAGTTTAAGTAATTAAATATGTCACATAATTTTGATACGATCGTCGATATATACCGACGTGTATCATAAAATTGGATTGTCAACACCAATGTTTACTGGTGTGTACATTAATGGATTTAAACTCATAATAATGCCAATATATGTACAAGGAGAAGTAATTAAATTTTTAATCAACAAATTGATCCATTAGTTTATTCCCAGATTTATCATATTTGGCATAAACCAAGTTTGTTTTTTTTTTTTTTTAAATTATTGACATTTACCAGCTACAGTTAGAGTTGTAATTGTGAAAATAAAAAAAGAATTATCGAAGCATAAGGTTAACACTTCCGAGTCTGAGGATTTACGATCTTCCAATCGCTTAACTCTCACAAGGCGGCTGCTGCTAACTCAGCAGTTTTTGGTAGTCTCAGAAAGTTATTACCACCAGAGTTTTATCATCTTTTGCACTATGCTTCCCTTACAGAGATGAAATTTCCTTATCATCTGTATATATATATGCATTAAAGATGTGTAATAAGATATTCTACCAGCTTAGAAGTTTGGTGGACCTGCATAGAATGACGATATCATAAAGGGAATGTCCCAAGTCCAAAGGAAGGATTGTAGATGATGGAACAACAGCAGTTTCATAATATAGCAACGGCAGTAGTCTGGACAACTTTCTGGAGTAGTATAAAGTACTTGTGAGACAAGTGACTGGTTCTCAAGTCTCTTTACACCGAGACTTGGTGGGCTTAGAGTTCAAAGCTCCTCAGAGTACTTCTCATAGTCTTTTTTACGTTTTCATACAGTACTCATTATGTCATTACTTGTTTTATTTTTTTTTCTTTGTTGTTTTTTCTTTTGTGCTGTTTTTTTTCACTTTTAGTTTCGCTCGGAAACTCTGCTCGCTAGTTGGCTCTGAAACCTTTCATAAATTGACATTAAAAACAGAAAAAAAAAAACGTTAAATCGTTATGAATTTATAAAACGCACTGCGTATCATTAAATTAAACTCGGAATTATTAGTCTGGAAGTTTTAGTGTTTACACATATTAACGCTCATAGCTCATCCATGCAATATATGGTTACATCGTATGATAATGGAAATAACTGAGGTAAGCCATGGATATGGTTTATAAATCGATAAAAGCTCTGGTGGATTGCCGGAAGTTGTTTTCCAGAAAATTTAGGTCACCTCCTTCTCTTCTCTTCCCATCCTAACCCTTTAAACGAACGAATGAGAGTCATACACACATAACTTGGCGACTAACCAATGTCGTTTGCTCTTGTGTATCGTTCATATCCAGTCGGAATAGTTCGAAGCAGATTGGAAAATTTAGCCGCATTCACGGCGTAATTCATTGACTATGACTGTAGACATGTGTGGTAACGTCAAACCGATTACACGGACTATTTATTACTTTCATCAATATATTTACTGCTGCACTTATTACCATTATTATTATGAGTATAATTAGTATTGTTATAACTTAATATTATTATACTTTTGTTATTTTTCATTCTCAGATAATAATTGTTATGATACACTGCAATAAGCTAATTAATAATTCAAAATTGATGCTAGGCCATTCAAATTGATTTTTATCCTAGCTTACAATCAATAAAGCTCATTTGATGAACTAATAAAACGGAGTAATGTTCGAACAAATTCTAATTACTGACATACACTACGAATTCGTAACTAACCAACTAATAGATTGATTTAAACAAACAATTTTTATTTTTATTTGTATTTATTTTTCTATTTTTCTTCTGATTTTAGTAACTCGATTTGTTAATTAACAAAATCAATGATGCCTTTATTTTGTATTTAAAAGTTTGCAATCGAGTGTTTGATTTAGAAAAATAAAAAAAAAAAATTCCTAGTGTTCTTCAACATTATTCATATTAGGTGACAAAAGTTTGAGCCGCGTGTTGTATAGAAGACTGTTTCAGTATAGCATGCTTCTGTATTGATCCAAACATTTGAATAGAGCTTACTTCGTAGTTTCCTGCGATAAGATCACGTGGTATAAATTTTTCCATACTGAATGTATGTCAAAATATTTTGATTTTTACTATACATGTTCCAGGTTTTAGACCTAGTTATTAGCTGTCTAATTGGTTGTAAAAATTAAATGATCGCGTCTCACTCGTAACTGATGTTGAAATAACGAACGGATGATGTATCACGAAATTAAATAAATGTAAGGAGATGACCATTTATCTTTGATCCCTTACGTGTATCATGTGTTCTAAATAGTTCCCCTACGGTTATTTGATTGACGTATATATTAATAAATAAATCAGCAACTGCGTGGCTGATGGAGCAAATTCATTAATATTTCCACTGGACCCCTTTCTCTCTCTTTCTTTTTTAAATAAATATATCATTTGCTAAGTATCAATTATCGAAAATAAATATACGTGAGCAATACGTTATTCACAACATGAGCTGTTGACTGAATTTAATTGTAATTGTCATCAATAAATTGGATTATTTAATAAAATAATTCATTTCTGTGGACCTGATCCCTGATAATATTTGTGAGCCAATTTTTCCAGTAATTAATATTCCTAACTATTATTCCGGATCAAATAAAATGATTTAATAAATATACGCGAAGCTTCTATTAATAAACATCAGATCATTACAATTATTGTTATTTAGAGTCAATATTAATATTAATTTTAAAAACTTATTGTTTATCATTCGAATGGCTTTGGCTTGCTTATTGATTTCATTATCCCTCCGGCATTGGTTAAAATTGCGAGCGCGTCGTTTTTTACAAAAAATATACCTATCGTTATTAATATTCATATACGTCAAAATTTTTTTTTTTTTATTACATCGAGCAACATTTTTTTCTTTTATTTCAAGCGCAGATGTAAGTGCAAATGACACATCACTCACGATGAAAATATCATTTCATTATGTATCCAATTGATTGATTTTAACTTTTAAAATTAATTTTCACAAAGCAAATAATAAAAACGAATCAAATAATGGAAATAATCGACCACTCATTATTAAATTTCTTGTTTTAATCGGAGCTTTAATTATAATTTAACTGTAAAATATGTAAAAGCGCCAACTTATGAAAAGGTCAATTTGAATTATGAATTATGAATTGTGAATTACAATCATATCAAGTTGTTTGAAAGACTATTAAGTTTATAATTCATGTTATTGACATTCATCAAACGGTTTCGCGAAATTCGATATATTTTAGCATTTACCACAACGTTTGTAGTAACTTTAATCAAAACTGAATATAAATAGATCAAACGCTCCCGTTAAGTGCATCAAAATTTAGTACCCATCTTGTTTTATTCATGTACATAGTAATACAGGATAATGTACAAGTTAATACATGATTCATCTTGCTTCTGTAATTATGTGTACAAGAATACACCTGTGATTGCTTTAAATTCATGTCCTAGATTTATAATAGATGTCGTAGATGCGTTCCAACTGATTTACTGCCTGACCATTTACCTTGATATGATGAAAACTAATCGTCAATAAATTCTTATTGTCTCGAATAAAAGTTATTAGTCTAAAAGTTATGATAAAATTCTATTTTCTAAACAACCGTTCATTATCAAAAGAAATCGGGTTTGTTGAGTGATGAATATTGTTTTGTTTTTTGTTCATAAATTTATTTTCAATTCATATTTTGTTCTGATTAGTGAAAAAAGTAATAATCACAGAACTAAAGATGTCCAAATAAATTTCATAGGAATAGTATGTCATTAAAAAAAAATGTTTAAAATTAATTTCGATATTGAATATTTTTCAATGAATTTTTTCTCAAATAATTTTATGCAGTTACACTTTTATGAATCACTTTCGTCATTCAGTTCAGTTTTTTTCTTATCAAGTAACATCTCTTGTATTTCTATGAGAGATTTACCCTTCGTTTCTGGGATAAACAATCTAATGTAAACTGCAATCGCAATAAACAGTAATGAATATATCCAAAAAACATATTTTTCGGTGAAGTTTTCGACCATTGGTTGGTAACTCCTCATAGAAGTAAATGCACATAACCCACTCAGAGCACTGATGAGTGAAGCACCTACGATTTTTACATTGGGTGCAAACATCTCACTTGTTATCGTAGCAAGTGTTGGTTGGATACCGATAGCAGAGAAAAGTTGAAAAATGACAACCGCGATTATTGACAACCACTGAAAATTTTTGTTATCTATACCTAAATCCAACATCTGATAATTCAGTCCCAATAGAAACATTGAAAAGGCTATGCTGATTGAAGAAAAGAGTAGCATGTTAGTTCTGCCAAATTTATCGCTGGTGTACGTTGCGAGCAAGCTGAAACATGTACTTATGAAGCCCACTATGATTACCAAATCAGTTGGATTTATTGTTTGTATTTTAACGTTTCTTAAAATAATTTCCATGTACGCAGGAATCGTGTAGATCCCGCTCAATTTAGTGAGTGCAATAACAACATTTACTTTAAACAATATTTTGCGATTTGTCGGCGTATTGATGGCCCGTAACTTAGACACTAGTGTTGTCGTTCGGTTTGCTCGCATGAAATGTGAAAGAGCATCAAGTTCTTTGGCAACATCAGCATTACGATCATAGAATCTAATTGATTTTGCAGCCTCGTTCATCTTACTGTTGAGCACAAGAAAAGACGGAGTGTGAGGCATCATGCTAAATGAACCTAAAAATAATAAAGTTGGAACCAGACTGACAGTAGCAAAATGCCACATGTCCAAATATTTTCCCATCAAGTTTCCACAAAAATAGCCTATAAAGCATCCATTTATGGACAGAGCTACTAGAGCACCTCGAATCTTAGGATGTGAAATTTCTCCGATATATAACACATATGCGCCCTGATAAAGCCCAAAACTAAGTCCGCTAAGAATTCGTGATATGTAGATCAATGGTACTGATTTAATGATCATGAAGCATGTCCAGCTCAAAGCCATCGGAATTCCAGTTATTAGGGTTGACTGTTTACTACCGATCGTGTAAACAAGTATTATACCGAAAATGGCACCAAATGTTTGTGCGAAACTTGTAAGCGATGCTATCCACGAGGCCTCTGATTTAGTAATTGAAAGTTCTGAATTTGGGTTTATCGTTGCATCCAGTTTTGATAAGAATGGTGATGTCCAACCTCCTTGTAATCCTACCACCGATGACATCACAAATACTAAAAGTATCATCGTAAATATATTTTTGTATCGTAACCTTCTTTACACGGAAAAAAATAAATAGGTCGTACAACATGAAATTTTACTGAATAAAAACTAGACTTTTGAGCTAAAAAAGCTCATAAGCATATAAGAATTCTTGGAGCTTGGGGATTGGGGATTAAAAAATAGCCATGAAACCATGTTTTTGAGCTCAAAAATGTCGTAATAGGCGAAATTTGGAGCTCTTTGCATTTTAAATTAGCGGGAAGTTGCAGGGGTCGCTTACAAGGTCAACCGTTTTACTAATTTTTTAACTTCCCGCTAAGAAAATTGAAAATTTTCGAATATCGGGAAGTTATTGGTTTTACCCCGTTTTTCAAAAATAGAGTTTTCGAAAAAATCGCGGTTGGCGCCATTCGAAAGGGCTTAACTGAAATAAGATTTTGGATACAATTTGAACCGATTCGGACCCGTAGAAAACCGAAAAAAGTGTTTTTTCTGAATTACTCCGAAATTCCTAGTTCGATCAAATTAAACTTAAAGATTCTTCATGAGGCTCAAAAAATTGAGTCGAATGCCGCCAACCGCGTAGAAATCGGTTCATTCATTCAAAAGTTATTGCAATTTGAAAAATAGTGTTTTATCAAACTTTTGAGCTCAAAGCATACAAAAGCTATTTTTTTGAGCTCAAAATAACACAAATTGTATTTTTGAGCTCGAAAAGCTCAAAAACGTCATAAGTGCAATTTTAAGCGTTTAGGTATGGAATTGGCGGGAAGTTGCAGGGATCGCCTTCAGGATCAACCGTTTTCCTAATTTTTTCCGTGTAGTTATTTCTTTGTAACTTGACTTACATTCAAAAGCAGCTAACCATTGAGGCCATAAAGTGAAACTATTTCGACGGTGAGAAATTATTTGCGATACACTGTCCATTATTGAATATTTTTTTAATCCCGAAGCCGTTTCACCATTTACTACTGTTTGACTACTATTATCATTTTCGCTCGACATAACGATTATAAACTTGAAGTTTTGTTATTATCGATTATATAATTCTTTTGTTTAACGATAAAGATACCATAAATAAAAAATACGTGGAAATAAATGTTGCGTAAAAGTAAATTTAATGCATAAGCAACTGATAGCGTTATATTTTTCCTTTCAAAACGAGAAATGAAAAAAAGCATTAAAATTATATAAATTAGAATTTTATTGATGAAGACATATAGAAAATAAATGCTTAGCGACCATCGAGTTGCGTGTATACAGGAATTATATTGAGTATTAGTAATGTTAAACTATTAAATGGATAACTTAAAACACGAAATTTATTTCAGAATAAATGCGATTGATGGACCATCAAAAATTGCTCAAGTGCTTCAAGTTACTTTGTGAAAGTAATCCAGCGTAATATACAAGTTGATTCGACTTATTCTGCTTCTGTAATTATATGAACATAAATCGTACTTGTTACTCCTTCAAATCCATGTCATTAATAATAGATGCTATCCAAGATGCTTCCCAACTGATTTATCGTCTGTCAATTTAACTTGATATGACGAAGACCAATCGTTAATAAATCCTCATTGCACCAAATGAAATTTATAAGCCTAATAGATACTATGAAAAATTATGTTTTTTAAGCAACTGTTAGGTACCAGATGAATAGTATATTACATACCTAGGCCAGTAAAATAAGAAAAGTCTCAGACCACATGTAATTGTTGGCCGAGGCGAAGCCGAGGTTGACAAACATGTGGTCTGAGGCTTTACTTTTTACTGGCCGAGGTGTGTATACTATTTTTCTGCTCGACGTAGCCGGAATGTGGCAACTTTGTTTAGCGCAGCGGCCAGAAAGTTGCCACTTTCCGGCCGGAGGGCAGAAAATTACTTTTGTTGAGTATCGAATATCGTTTTAAACTGTACTTGGAGTTACGTGAAGCGTTCCAACATTCACGTAACAGGATATTTTGGTAGGAAAGAATTGAGAAAGGATTGTGGAGAGGATCATCTTAATGTGAGTGTATAGAATATGCGAGAAAAAATTATTAGATAGCTCGGACTGGGATGGTTATCTATGATACCATAATTTATGAGCATCTCTTTGTATATTAAATTTTTTTTTGGAAATATTTTGATGCTTATTTCATTATAAAATGATGAGGTCTAATGATACTTAAGTGTTTTATCGTAACTGAATGATACAAGTATGAAATAGATGTTTTTTGCCGTTATCCCTCCGCTGGTTGTTGTGTTGAAATGTTTTTGTATCGCTTCATATTTGACTTGTAGCAAAATATTGCCTCGATGAGTAAAAAGAGATTAAAATAAAATTTAATGACATTTTAAAACAATAAAAGTGACATGACTAAAAATGTATTTGAGCATTTACTATACTTCCTTACTACTTTAATAATACGAGTAAAACAAATTAATGTAATTTTTTTTGTTTCAATTTTATTTCGTTTTTCAATGGAGAAAATCAACGAAAATGGGTTATGAAACCGATACATAGATATGTATTGGTGTAGATAGTACAGTAATTATAATTACCACACAATGAACAAAGTTCTATTACAGGATATGTGCAATTTTCAGCACGTGTCTGTGGTTTTTTTTTTTTTTTTTTTCTAGTTTTGTGTAAACCCACGGTAAATTTTATTTTCGTCATGTAAAGTCGAATAATTAAATAAGGTAATAAAAATGAAAAAGAGATGATGGGATGAAGCAATAATTTAACTACACGATCAATGAATAACATATTTGTTAGGTAATTGATTAATGACAAAGTAAATATATGTAGCTTTTCATTATCATGTAATGCTAGTAAATTTACCTATATTTTAATAAATTTTTCAGCTAATAGACAATTTATTGATTTTTATTGATGATAAATTTTAATCTGTGAGTAGGAAGGCATAAATAAGCTCCTTGCAACTTTACCACCGATTGCATTAGAAATATTCAAAATATCATCATATTTATTGATTAACAGTAATCGAGTTTAGTCATTCATTTTTGATTTGATTTGTATTCAAAAGAAGCTACCCATCGTAGCCAAAAACTGAAACTATTCTGATGATTCATAGTTTCTGGTAATATACCGTTCATAATGGAATATTTTTACTACATTATTTTCTTGGTATATTGTGTAAGTATTGTCTGTCACGTATTTCTTATTCGATAAGATATTAGAGACTTGTTTTATTTGAAATGTTGTCTCATAAATTATATGTAAATTTTTCTGTAAATAATGATCGAAAATACATTTGAGTAAAAAAGTAATTTTAATAGGCATTAATCATTGTGAGTAAATTACTTAAAAAATTTGCTCTTTTCAATTTCAATTGTTAACGATCAAGCTGAAAATAATTATAAATTACAATTGTCTAAAATTAGTTAGAAAAACAAAAAAGTATTAAGAATGTATAAAGCAATTTTTTTATTGACAATCACAGCTTTGACAGATTCTCTGAAATTACGATCACAAAATTTTATATAATATTAATTATTAAAAAAGCATTATAATCATAAATTAAAATAATTTTATCTATAGGTCACAAATATTACATTTTTTTAATGACTCTATTATCATCATCATTCGATTTATCTTCTTTGTTTGATTTGGCTTTAATATCTCGCGATAAAATTTCTTGTATTTCTGCTAGAGATTTACCTTTAGTCTCAGGAATAAAAATAATCGAATACAGTCCTGAGGAGAACATAAGAAAACTATAAATCCAAAAAACATATTTTTCAGATAGAGCGTCTACCATAGGTTGATAACTACGACTGGCAGCAAATGCGCATAATCCAGAGATCACACTGCTAATTGAAGCGCTTAAATTTTTGACACTTGGTGCAAACATTTCACTTATCAGTGTAGATGGTACTGGTATCAGACCTAAGGGAACTGAAAGTTGATAAACAACTAACGCGATGATAGATATCCACTGTAGATTAGGATTAGTGTAACCAATATCTAACAATTGATAATGAAGTCCCCATAAAAACATTCCGATTCCTACGCCGACAGAAGAAATCAGAAGCATAACAGGTCTTCCGTACTTATCATTTGTGTAAATTGATATCCAACTGGATACGATACTCAAAACATTACCGCTGATTACTAAATCCGAAGGTACCACAACGTTTATGCGCGCATTTGTTAGCAAAATTTCCATGTAAGCATTTACGGTGTAGTTTCCACTGAGTTGGAAAAATGCGAATACAATATTTACCATTATTAATGCCTTTCGATTCACTGGAGTATTTAGTTCGCGTATCGTATCTCTGAATGTTAGTGATTTGCTTGATTGAATAAATTCTTTGAGGGCTTCTAGTTGGTTTTTGACGTCGGTGTTGCGATCGTAGAATTCAATCGATTTGGCTGCTTTGTCAATTTCATTGCGCCGTATCAAATAGTGAGGTGTGTGAGGCATAATGCAAAACGAAGATAAAAATATTAAATTCGGTACAAGAATTATGGCTGCAAACATCCATAAATCAACAAATTTTCCTATTACTGTGCCACATAAGTTACCTACCATAAGGCCTTGCATGACTAAAGCTATTAATGCACCGCGAATTTTGGGGTGTGCAATTTCTCCGACATACAATGGAAAACAGCTGAAAAACATTCCAAAACTGATACCATGAAGTGTTCGAGACACATAAATCAATGTCACTGAATTTTTTATGAGAAATAACGCCCAGCCAATAGCTATTGGTACTCCCACAAATAGCGAAGATAATTTTGTTCCGATAATGTGAACTAATAATGCTCCTAAAATTCCACCAGCCGGACGAGAAAGATTGATTAGCGATGCTATCCACGAAGCTTCGACCTTATCTATTGGAAGTTCTGAATTTGGATTCTCTTGTGCATCTAATTTAGCCAAATACGGTGAAGTCCATCCTGCTATTGAACCCACCATGACCGACAGTAGAAACACTGAAACCATTATCAATTAATCACTCAACTAAATTTTATTACAATTGATTGATCAACTAGTCATTTAACGTGTACTTACATTCTGTGCCTGCAAGCCATTGCTGGAATAAACCAAATTTCTTTAACGGTTTCGATGAATCCATAGTTAGCTGCACTATTTAAATTACTTGCTAATAATTTACCGTTTTATCATTATCAAACTCGAAACAAGTATTTTTTGTTCTTTAATTTGTGACAGGATTTAAATATTATTCTATTGTATATTTTAGACTGAGAACACGGAATAACATATCGGGTAGTGATTAGTATTTTCCGTAGCAACAGAACTGACTGAAAATTCAAATCATGTTTCATTATTTCTTATATATGTGTGATAATGTTGATTAATCAATGATTGACACAGTAAACAAAATTTCATTTATATTTGATGAGAGATCAACATTATCAAATAATTAACTCGATCACAATACGACTTAGTAGATAAGGTTATATTTATTATCGTTACCGCCATTATATTTATTAGCTTATTATTCTTACTACCGTTAGAAGTAAATAAAAAATAAAAAATTAATTAGATTCCTATGCAAATAAAATAATTTCATACAGGCAAATTATAGAGGTTAATTATACAGGCAAATTATTAAGGTTAATTATACAGGCAAATATTTTCATGGTGGTAATGAACAATAAGTTCTATTTTTTATGATAACATTATAAAAAAAATGTATATATTTATTAATGTAATACAAATAAAAGGTGATACGTAAGAGTAAGTTTTTTTTTTAATTTCAATATTAATTTTTTAACTTCCCGCTAAGAAAATTAAAAATTTCAAAATTTAAATTTCCTAAAATTCGTTTTGTAACGGGGAGGTTAACCCTGTTCAATTGGTCACCCCTTTCCTTTTGAAAAGGGCGCCACTGGGATTTATTTCGCGGTGTCCCAGAAACCGGGCGAGCTCGAGAAAGGAAAGCGGGTCGTGAGAAGTTGAGACAAGGCTGTAAATAAATACTGAGGACAATTTTATCTAGTTAATCAAATTTATTAAACAATAAAAATAAACCTTAAGAATTAACAAAATAACAAGACTGTTTTACAGTTAAAATCTTAATACAAAATTTCCAGAAAACGCTCACTCAATCAGGCATTTGCCAAAAAATCTTATAAACTAAATATCATTAAATTCTTTTAAACATAGATCATTACGCATCTATCTTCTTAATTTCTTAACTCAATTATAGGCCATTACGCATCTATCTTTAAATTCCTAATTCAATCATAGACCAATACGCATCTAGATTCTTAATTCCTAAACCCTCGTCCACTGACGGAATAACTAACAACATAAATTTCCCAAATTCCAAAACTTCTTAATTATTCATTTCTCTAAATCACTATTCACTAAATTTCCGATTTTCAATCTTATCATAATTCACAAATCTTCAGCAAAACTCTTTACATATCATTCGGTTGCACTAAATTTAATCCCTCATAAATTTCTTACTAACTAAACTCATTTCTTAAATCTTCTTAAATAACCTCTTAAACAATTATTCATAAATAAAATTCAATTTTCAGATTAACTAAATTTACTAAATTCACCGAATCTTCTTATCAAATTTCTCTAATAAATTATCCTTAAATTCAATCAATTTCTCAATAAATTCATTTAGCATTTTCCTAAATTAACAATTCAATCAAATTTAGCCACCGGCCTAAATTTATTTTCCAAAACTTACAATACTATCTTAATCTATTAAATTCAATACCAGGCACTTGTTCAATGCAAAATAAATTTTACTACATTAAATAATCACTCAATTTCTTTACTAGTTAACTTACTAAATTTTCTGCTAATATTTTCAATAATTAAATTCTACTGAACTCACTACCAAATTCACTAACTATTATCTTTCTAAACAAAATTCTAAATATCAACTCTTCGAACCCTAAGCGCCTCAATACAAATTTTAACTACAAATATTCTAGAATGACCTTCACTGACTTAATTACGCATTTTCATTTCTTATTCAAATTTACTTTTCCTTATATCTCAAAAATTATCAACTAAATTAATTTATTATAGCCAACAGGCCTATAATAAATTACTGATTAAATTATCTACAGTAAATTCGCAAATAATCTATTAATTTTATTCTCTTTAAAATAAATAACAGGTGACAAAACTACCTAAATGACCTTGGCAAATATAATTCTAAAATACGAAACTCGTTAATATAAAATGGCTACTCGAGAAATTAATTTTAATTATTTCAGCCTCTTAATTAAATTAATAATCAATTCTGGCCTAAAATAATTCAAAATACCTGGAGACTCAATTATTGTTTTATCCAACGACGACTGATACTCTGGTCCAACTTGGCTGGCTCAACAGCTTGGCGTCTTGTCGTCTCAACCCACGATGCTGGCCTGCAGTCAGGGTTGTCCAAATCAAAAAATGCCACAATAACTTCCTCTGCATTTGATCTTTATTCTTGACGTCCAAATTTATACTCTCTTGACTAACTGATCTCAACAAGGTCACTGACTCACAAAAGGCAAAAGGCCACTGGCTTCCAGAAGGGAAAAAGCCTCGATGTTTTTCGTGCTCGCTCTTTTATAACCCTCAGCTCAGGCTCCCGAACTTTCCTATTGTTACGCCCCGCTTCATTTTCGGGGACAGTAGTGGGGACTCTTGATTAGCACGCCCGGTGACAAGTCGAAACTCTTGTGAAAAATCGAAAGGTAAGGGAAAACCCTTATCTACCGTGCATCAATTATTGGGATCGATAATAACCCCGGGAAGTTCGATTTTCCCTGTTACAGTTTTTTTGAAATATCTTCTTAACGGCTCAATCGATCAATCCTAAAAACTAATCAGCTCTTAACCCCAAACAACTATGTCGATCGCCACCGGTCCGGTCAAAATCTGTTGATTCGTTCGTGAGTTATCGTTGTCGAAATAATTTGGACAAAGTGAATTTTTCAAATTTCTCCAAAATTTTCGGTCTGGTCAATTTGTGTTTAAAAGTATATCATAGGATTCGAAAAACTGCCTCGAATGCTGCCTACCGTGTGAAAATCGGTTTATTCACTCAAAAATTATTGCAGTTCGAAAAATTAAAGAATAGTGTTTTATTAAACTTTTATCAGACTTATGAGCTCGAAAAGCATAGAACAGCTTTAAGAGCTCAAAAACGTCATAAGTGCAATTTTAAGCGCTTAAGTATGGAATTAGCGGGAAGTTGCAGGGATGGCCTTTAGGGTCAATCGTTTTCCTAATTTTTTTTCTAGTTCAACTATTATGTGACTATTGTACAGGAAAAAAAATTTTAAAGCAAAAATAGAGTCGGTCTCAAATTGTACGCCCGTTTAGCTTTAGTGAAATTTTGTTTAAAACCACAAAGATATTTATGTATACATATATAAATTAAAGCAAAAAATTGTTAAATTTGTTAACGGTCAAATAGTAAACTATAAATTTATGAAATCAAAGTTGTATTTAAAATTAAAAGTTAAAATTTTTATAAAGTAAAAAAATATTGTAAGAAGAATCCGAACAAAAACAGTTTCATTGTAAAAAAAATCGCGCCTTTATTTTTTTATTTTATATCTTTTTGTAAAGAAAACAAATTTTTTTTTTTTTAATAGTCTTATGAACGTGGACTTAGCGACGCGATTTTTTTACAGTGAAACTGTTTTTGTTCAGATTTTAGTATTTTTTGTAATTATAATAAAAATTTACAATTAGTACAAATTTAAATCTCGCATTGGCTGCATTTTTATAGCAAACTATTCCCTTGAAGCTACAGTTTATGTAAAAATAATTCCAGCGCACCCTGGCGGGTGTAGATGCAAGCTGTGAAATGTATTTTTCTAACTGTAGTTTCCCATCTATCGGAGGATTACCATGCACTATTGAATTATTTAGTCTGTGGCAGATCACTTTGCCCATCGAAAAAAAGTCAGGATCGAAATTTTTGCGTTGCTATAGTTTGTGCTGATTAAATTTAATAATTTCAAGTAGATTAGTTGTTATAATTAAATATAATTAATTAATATCAGTAAAATAAAGTATGAATTACTGTTATAATATAAAATTTAGGAAAAAAAATTACCGTAGAATTAAATAAAATTTTGCAACCTCGAAATACCCTTCTGCTTACAGTAAACACACTCGGTAGTCTGGCGCTCCGTTTACAACGGATTTGAACGGAACTTGGTGCCAGATTCTACCGAATCTGTGGATAAAGTTGTAAAAATATGTTTTTTTGGTTTAGAAAGTAGAGAAATTTTTATTATGCATCATTTTAGGAACAATATTTTAGTGAACCATTTGGCTGTATAGCTCGGTCATTCAAGAACAGAATCATCGATGTTACATCCTTTTACTTTCTCTAATTTTTTTCCAGAGGATAACATTTCATGTATTTCGGTAAGAGTTTTATCTTTCGTTTCAGGAATAAAAATTATTGTATAGACTCCAGTGACGATCATAAGCAATGTATAGATCCAAAATACATATTTTTCGGTTAAAATGCTTACCAATGGCTGATAACTTCGACTTGCAGTGAACGCAAATATCCCAACGTTTATATTAATGATACAACTACTTACACTCTTAACGTTTGGTGCGAACATTTCACTAGCTAGTGTCGCAGGTACTGAAAGTAGTCCTAAACTTGACATAATTCGATACATAATTGTACCAGTAATTGATAACCACTGTAATCTAGAATCGCTATAGTCAAGATCTAATAATTGAAAATTCAAACCTATCAAAAACATTGCAAATGCAGCTCCAATGCTTGAAATTAAAAGCATAATAGTTCTACCCCATCTATCAATTGTATAGATAGATAACCAACTTGATACAATTCCGATCACACTGACACCAATAATGAGATCCGATGGTTTTATGATGTCGAGCCTTGCATTGGTCACTATAATTTCCATGTATGAAGAAAATGCATATGGACCACCGAGTTGAGTGCATACAGTAATTATAATGATCATTAGTAAAGTTTTCCGATTAACTGGCTGACTTAATGCTCGAAATTCATCCCAGAATGAATGCGATTGATGGACACTCAAAAATTGTTCAAGTGCTTTAAGTTCATTCGTGACGTCGGCAGTACTATTATACCAAGAAATTGATTCAACAGCTTTATCCATCTTATTACAACGAATTAAATAGTGTGGTGTGTGCGGCATCATACTAAACAATACCATGAATATTACATTAAAAACAAGACTTACTGCAGCAAATAGCCACATTTTGCAATATTTTCCCATGATATTGCCACACAGGTTGCCCATCAAAAATCCTTGGACGTTGAAAGTTACTAATGCGCCTCGAATTTTAGGGTGCGACATTTCTCCAATATACAACGAAAATGAGCTGTAATACATTCCTATTCCTATACCAGACAAAATACGGGACACGTAGACTAACGTCACTGAATTCATGATGAAAAAACATATCCATCCAATGGCTAATGGAATTCCAGAAACCAATGCAGTTGATTTAGTCCCTATCGAATAGACGAAGATCGCACTTAAAATGGATCCTCCTGTTCGGGATATATTGATCAGCGACACGATCCAAGATGCTTCGGTTTCATTTATCGGAAGCTCTGAATCCGGATGTGTTGCTGCATCTAATTTAGTTATATATGGCGAAGTCCATCCTGCTACTAGGCCAGTGACTAGTGTCATCAAAAATACTAGCCAAATACAATTAGTTGATTAAAAAATTTTTAGCTAACCTTTATGAAACATGTGAATTTAGACGTAATTTAATTACTTATACTTACATTCTGAAGCAGCCAACCATTGTGGCCATAAAGATAAGCGAATCAATTTCATAGTAAATCTTATTTTTCGATCACTTTAGCATTCATGATCTACTGAATAAAATAATACATGCCTTACAATGCTCACTACCAATATTAATTGGAATAATCTTTTAATCAAATTTTAGTTGGAATAGTTTCGTAATTGTAATGGTAGACTTGACTTGGTAGGCAGTAACTTCTCTTACTGTTTTTTTTCTTTTTTTTTTACGTAATATTCAAGTGATAAACTACCTAAGCCAATCATGCAATTCCACTGTTGTTAATGTTTATTGCAAGGCAATGAGTAAGTTAGTTTTTCTTAGTAGTTATAGTTTCCGCTAGTTATCTTTTTTCGCGTCAGTAAAAGAAATTGACATTTGTCGATAATGTCAAAAAAAAGATAATCTTAATTGTAGCATTATTTAAAAACATGACCTAATAATTTGTTTTAACTTTCATACATAATACGTAAAGAATATGATAATACTCATACGAGTATGATAATCAATTTTAGTATAAAAAATTAAAATTTTTGGAAAATCCAAAAGTCCACGTCTTACACGCTTATTTTACTATAAATAAAATTAAAAATTATTAACCAATGAGAATGTCGACAACTAATATCGAATTTATTATAATCCGAAAAAACACTTTTTTCGGTTTTCTTTCGTTCACGATATCTCTCGAACAAATCAACCGATTTTGACCGGACTGGTGGCGATCGACGTGGTTTTTTGAGGTTAAGTGCTGATTAGTTTTTAGAGTTGATCGATAAAACCGTTTAAAAGTTATTGCAACAAAACCACATTTAAAAAAGATTTTTTTCTTAGTTTTTTTCGAAATTTCTTAAAATCTATCGGTCCGAATCGGTTCAAATTCACAGGAAATCTAAGTTTGGCCAAGTGCTTTCAAATGGCACCAACCGCGATAAAATCGGTCAAACCGTTCAAAAGTTATAAGCGGTTCACACACACACACACACACACACACACACACACACACACACACACACACACACACACACACACACACACACACACACACACACACACACACACACCAGAGACACACACACAGAAACACACACACACACACACAAACACACACTATCGGTCCGAATCGGTTCAAATTCACAGGAAATCTAAGTTTGGCCAAGTGCTTTCAAATGGCACCAACCGCGATAAAATCGGTCAAACCGTTCAAAAGTTATAAGCGGTTCACACACACACACACACACACACACACACACACACACACACACACACACACACACACACACACACACACACACACACACACACACACACACACAGAGAGATACATGCATACAGACATAGTGACAACATCGCAGGGGTAGTCAGGGAAACTTCTTGTGACCTTAAAACGTCAAGATCTGATAAAAACTCGATTTTTGCAAAATGGGGTAAAACCAATAACTTTTCGATTTTCGAAAATCTTCGATTTTCTTAGCGGGAAGTTAAAAATTCATTTTTATGAGTATCTTTTAAACGTCTATGAGTCTGATAACGACCAGTAATAGGGATGATTCTGAGGATAAATGAAAACTTATTTAGAAAGATTTATTTTATTTCATTACGTACATTTTTCTAAAACGTGAAGACAAACAGTGTACAGACTAACCACACTAGTAATTGACAGTCGTACTAATAATTTTTGAACTGCATTTTTTATAACAATAACTAATTAAATGAATTAAAAAATCACACTGACTTTATAATATCATGTATTTAGTTTTTGGAATATCCTTTTTTTATTGATTTAGTGTCTAAATTGAGACATACTAACAATTTTTTATTATGAAATTGTCACATAGCGGCATGTCGAGAGTAAAGCACTCCCACACGTTCACGCGTTGTCAGGCGTACAAAAAATTTAACATAGTATTTTTACACTAGATAACACTTTGTAAGATTCTGAAAAATTACACAATATAATATTTATTAGACTCTTATATTATAAAGAATTACTTGTCATTGTTAGACTTTTTATTATCATGCGATTTTGCATTAACTCTTCGACTCAGAATTTCTTGGATTTCCGGAAGAGATTTACCTTTAGTTTCAGGAATAAAATAAATACTATACAGCGCCAAAAGAATTAAAAGCAGTGAATAAATGAAAAATAAATATTTTTCTGTCAAAATTTTTACTAGTGGTTGATAAGACTTGGTAACCGAAAACGCAGATATTCCGATTAGTGAACTTTTAATACAAGAGCCTACACCTTTTATACTGGGTGCGAAAATTTCACTCGTCAATGCCGAAGGAACCACAGTTAGTCCGAAAGAACCAGCAATTTTGTATAAAATTATTGAAACAATAGATAACCACTGCAAGTTTGGATTACGAAAATTGAGATCCAACAGCAGATAATTCAAACCCATCAGAAATATTGCAAACGCTGCTCCCATAGATGAACTAGAGAGCATTATGGTTCTACCATATTTATCATAGGTTAACATTCCTAGAAAACTGGATAAAATACTTACCAAACTGACAACAATCACTAAACTTGATGGTTCAATGATGTCTACGTGGGCGTTAGTTAGTATAATTTCCATGTACGAAGAAAATACGTTACTACCACTTACTTGTGCTAGTATAGCGATAATATTAACCATCAGCAATGCTCTACGATTAACTGGTGTACTGAGCTCATGCAAAATACTTTTGAATGTTGTTGATTGATTCGCTTGCTGAAAAGCTTGGAGAGTATCAAGTTCTTTTTTTACGTGAGCTTTTCTGTCGTAAAACAGGATTGATTTAGCAGCTTCTTCTAATTTATGGCAACGAATTAAGTGGTATGGTGTTTGGGGCATTACGCTGAATGAGATCAAGAATATTATATTTATAGCGAGACTTACTGCAGCAAACACCCACATGTTCAAGTATTTTCCCATTATACTGCCGCACAAAGTACCCACTAAAAATCCTTGCATTGTTAAGGCTATCAAGGCTCCACGGATCTTAGGATGCGCAATTTCGCCGATGTACAGCGGAGATACGCTGAAAAGCATTCCTACAGCAATACCAGAAACAACGCGTGATACATAAACCAGTGGTAATGAATCGATTACGAAAAAACATAGCCATCCCAGTGCAAATCCCACTCCAGATAATAACATTGACAGTTTCGTGCCAATAACGTACACTAGTACTCCACCGAAGATTGCGCCGCATGGTCGGGCGAGATTTGGAAGAGATGCTATCCAAGAAGCATCGATGTCACTTAATGGGAGTTCTGAATTTGGATATTTTATCGCATTTAGTTTGGCCAAGTAGGGTGATGACCAGCCTGCTACCAAACCAGCATTTAATTTGATGAAATACACTGAAAAATTTCATACATCAAGTCACGTATTATATTAATTTATGGAATAAATATTTAATATTGTACGCTTCACAGCTTGCTAGGATTTTTCTTCATAATTTAGATCGTTACATGCGATGGATTAATATAAATCTTCTCGAATAAGTTTTCATTCTATTGATTTTGACTTTGTGTTTTAGTTATATTTTATGAAATTTAAATAAGCAAGTGTGTGAGGCATGGATTTTTAAATAGACAAACTTTTTGGTTTATTATACTTACATTCTATAGCAGCTAACCATTGCGGCCATAAACTACAGCAGCCTAATTTCAATGATAAATTCATTTTCAACAGTTATTATTAATTGAATTATTTGAATCACTATCAAATCAGTTTTTCTTATTTGTCCTTTTATTTGAACATTAATGTAAACATGTTTACATTATTTCAAGTTTATACGAAATAACGCAATATACATTTACAATTCTAACAAATGACAGTTTTAAATAAGTATGCAGATAGTATAATCGACTCAACAATTTAGATAGTGCACACAGTTAATTCTTATCTGCATCTTTCTGTTATTATCCACTACATAAAATTTATCGTATCATTACAAAAAATAGAGTTATTTCTCACGTTTCTTAAGGATTAGAAAGAAAACTCTGTTTAATTAATTCACTGATGCATGGAAAAAATAATCAGTCGACGCTACCGATTATTTTTTTCCGTGTGAGCTAATCAAAATATGCAGAAAAAAGTACTTGTTACTTTTAGTTACAATTAATTATTAAAAATATAATCGTTATTTTTTAGTAAGATTTTTTTCCAATTGAATACGATAAATTACATAAAATATATCAATACCTATTAGCTATTGCAATACAATGATGATAAGTTAAAAAATTATTTGAATCTTTTAAAAAGAGCTTTCATATAATTACAATAGGCTTACATTTATGACTATTATATTAAAAACTATCTTAAATTTTATACTTGTATTATCATTTTTTATCAGAATTTTTCCTCTCAATAACATTTCTTGTATTTCAACGAGAGATATTTCCCTTTTCTTTCGGGAATGAAAACGATTGTATATAATCTAGTAAAGATCACGAGTACAGCGTAAATCCAAAATACGTATTTTTCAGTTAACAGACCTACCATAAGCTGGTAACTTTTACTAGCGGCAAACGCGAATACATAAAAAATGCCGCTACCGATACAAACCCCGAAAGTTTTAACAATTGGCGCGTACATTTCGCTGACCAGTGTCGAAGGTATTGACACTACACCGATAGTGAGACTGAATTGGTAAACAATTGCCAGGACGATTGATAGCTACTGTATTGTTAAAGTCAAGATTTAATAGCTGGTGACTTAATCCCTTCTTATACATATAGATATTGCGATATCGAAGCATGATCGTAAAAGCTTACGGTCCTCCCAAATTTACCAGTAGTGTACGTTGCTAACAAGGTAGACACGATGCTGACAAAACTTATATTAATCACTAAATCTAGGAGATTCATAATAGTAACTTGGATTTGGGTTAACATTTTTTCATGTACGCACAAATTGTGTAAGTGCGAAAATAACACTAATTATTAGAAATGGTTTACGAGTTATTGGAGTATTAATAGCATGGACTTTTAACTTTCATGTTGGTGTTTGAATTACTTGCATGCATTGCTTGAGAGCATCAAGTTCATGGATTTCATCGGTGCTTCTATTACAAAAACGAATCGATTTAGCGGCCTCTTCTGGCTTGTTACAGCGCACAAAGTAACGAAGCGTATCATAAAAAATGAAACCAAAAATAGCAAATTTAGAACGAGACTTGTAGCTGCTGCATGCATATCCTTATGTTCAAATACTATCCCATTATGCAGCTGCACAAATTATCCACTAGAAAGCCTTGCATGGTCGCGGCCTTTAGAGCTCCCCGAATCTTGGGAAGTTAAATTTCGCCAATGTACAGCGGGAATGTGCTGAAATACATACCGAGACTAATACTACTAAGAACACGATATGCGACCAATAACACTGAATTCTCAAAAAAGGAGCATATTCATCCCACTGCAATCGGCATTCCAGAACGCAGTGTTGATGTTTAAATGCCTATTGGCAGTTCGTCTTATTAGGCGCCTGTTGATCGAACAACATTGGTAAGCGATACGATCTAACTCATTCCGTTTAAATCTGTTGGAAGTTGATCATTTGGATTTTTCGCTGGATTTAATTTTGTTAAGTACAGTGAAATTCATTCCTATATCAATCCAACCGTCTCTGGGTATACAGTATACTATAGTTTTTTTTTACTCGAAGATAAACATATATATAAAATCCTATGACAAGAAAAAAATTATTTCAACTAATAACTATTTACTTACTCAGAAACTATTAAAAAACTTACATGGGTGCTGTAGATCACGTAGTCTCGCGAGAGCTAATCGCATCGCAATAATCATTAGTGAGAGGTTCAGCCGATATACACTCTCTCTCATACCTCAAGCTAAACATAGTGTTGTTCTGATGCACCTATGTAATAAACTCTCGATCATCTGTCAAGTACAAAGTTCTACCCTGTTGATCTGACTTTTTGAGATTATCTGATTTTAAGGACCCATATTGCTCTTCCAAAATCTCAAGTCTTTCTAACCTTCAGCAAGACCTCCACTTTAACATTTAGGGGTCCTTCAGGGACAGTTAAAAAATTTTTCACAGTTCCTAAGGAATCTACCCTAAAGTGTTCGCCAATTCTTCTACATATACTTTGATGTAAGTTCAAATTTTTAATTCAACTCGACAATTCATGACTATTTATTTAAATGCGTGCAACTAGTCAGAAAGTTTATAATTGTATTCAAGATCTTCCTGGTTTGTTATTTATCATATTAATTGGTAAATGACGTCAGTGTTTATTTACCGATTATTTTACAAAGAAAACAATTTATTAAATTGATATAAGGTAATCCCAAAATAAAAATTTCCTGTAAACATTGTTTTTTCTCAATATACCCGAGTCGAAAAGTTTCAGCATTACTCTGAACTGAATAAGCTGCTAGTCAACGTTTGAAAAAAATAAAAAGCGGCTATTTAAACAATTGTTTAACGTCTAGAATCTATTAATGAAAATTTTAATGCATTCGTTTTTTTTTTCTTTTTAATCGTATAAATGATTGCATAATTGTTTTGATTGTCAATACATAGTTGTTTTGATTGAAAATAATTTACCGTGATGTTGTCAATAGCATGTCCAGATGCCTTTTGTAAAATTAATGATTATGATTAAAGTATTCGATTACCTTAATATTTCAGTTCTATAGTGGTTTCCAAGAAATAGAGAAAACATTGTTCCTTACCTAAGCTAATGTAGTTGGTATAAGGTGAAAATATTAAAAAAAAAATATATATTAACAATAAACATAATCACAAAAATGTTTTCTTTTAATTTATAAAATACAAATTATTTTATCAAGAATTAAATAGAATATAATAATTTCAATTTGTAGTAGTTATGGATTTAAAATTGAAATTTATTACAAAGTATCATTCAGTATTTAAAATATTTTTAATCTCGACAGTATATTGAAATATTTGAATTTCAACACACCCATTTTAGGTAACGTATATCAAAAATATAAGCTAATACAAAATACAAAATATGAACAAAGAAAAATTTGTATAAATAAAAATAATTTCATCTATATCACACAGTTATCATACTTTATCAGTAATTTTAAAATTTTCCTCATACACTTTACTCTTGTTACTATGATTATTAGATTTAGATTTAATACCCTGAGATAGAATTTCCTGTATCTCCGCGAGCGATTTACCTTTTGTCTCCGGAATAAATATCATCGTATAAATTCCGGTAGTAATCATAAGTAAACCATAAATCCAAAATACGTATTTCTCTGTGAGAACATCTACCATAGGTTGATAACTTCTACTAGCGGCGAATGCAAATACACCTGAAATTCCGCTGCTTATACAAGCACCTATACCTTTAACACTAGGTGCAAACATTTCACTGATAAACGTAGTAGGTACCGGCATCAAACCAATTGCAAGGCTAAATTGATAAACGATAGCTGCGATTATTGACATCCACTGAAGATTCGGATTTTCATAACCCAAATCTAGCAATTGGTAATTCAAACCCCATAAGAACATACCAGAGGCGACACCGATACTTGACAGCAGGAGCATTATTTTCCTTCCGCATTTGTCATTAGTATAGGTCGCTATCCAACTAGAAGCGATACTTATGATACTAACGCTTATTACTAAGGTCGAGGGTTTTATTATATTTACATTAGCTTTTGTCAACATTATTTCCATGTACGCAGAAATGGTGTAGAGGCCGCTTAATTGTACGAACGCGAATATTATATTAACCATTAATAAGGTCTTGCGATTTAACGGAGTATTGAGTGCCTGCCATGTGTCTCTTAACGTCAGCGCCTTATTTGTCTCCATAAATTGCTTAAGAGCATCAAGTTCATTGGTGACGTCAGCATTTCGATTGTAGAACCTAATTGATTTAGCAGCCTCTTCCATCTTGTTTGAGCGCACCAAATAGTGTGGCGTCTGCGGCATCAGGCTGAATGAACCCAAAAATATCAAATTCGGTATGAGACTGATAGAAGCGAAAAGCCACATGTCCAGATATTTTCCCATTATTGTCCCACACAAATTTCCGAGCATAAGTCCCTGCATGATCAAAGCCACCAGGGCGCCTCGAATTCTCGGATGTGAGATTTCTCCGACGTAAAGTGGGAATGAACTGTAGTACATTCCCAGCCCAATACCACAGAGGGTTCGTGATACATACACTAATGTCACTGAATTCATAATTAGAAAGGATGCCCAGCCCAGCGCAAAGGGAATTCCGGCAAGTAGCGTCGTCAATCTACTACCAATAACATAAACAAATATTGCTCCTAAAATTGCACCACCTGGTCGGGAGAGATTTATCAGCGATGCTATCCAGGACGCTTCAACTTTATTTATTGGAAGCTCTGAGTCCGGATTCTCTATTGAATCCAGCTTTGCTAAATACGGTGAAGTCCAGCCTGATATCAAGCCCACCATCATTGACATCAGAAGCACTAGAAATATTTTTTTTTGTTTTTATCATTAAATATATAATTACTAAAATATATTTCAATCGGAACGAATATATGATTGAATTTTTTTACTCACGTTCTAAAGCTGCCAGCCATTGCGGCCATAAACCAAAACGATGATTCGGCAGTTGTGGAGATTGATTGGTCATTATCACTCGAATTAATTCACTAAATTATCACAAATTTGTAAATAAAAACACTACACTAAAAAATGATTAATTAGAAAGAAAGTTAATTATTTTTCTGACGATTGTTTCGAAAATATTGTCTCACGGTAAATGTCATTTTCTATGAATATGATAAATCTTTGGCTGAATATTATTTTTCTATTGCTTGTTCTCAGTAACAGCAGCGTTAACTGAGGATTTAATTGATGTACCATACTATTTTATATATTAAATTGCCTCGCGTCGCATCGTTGGCGCACGATTAACTGACTCAATCATATTTTATTTACTGAAACCAGCATTAGGAGAACCACTTAATGGGAGAAAATTATTTTTGATATACGCGCTTGCGACACGTTTTAATAGATAACAGAGGTTAGTTTGTCAATCTTTTTCATTTTATACTTTTACTGTTTCGTTTATCAAAGCCATGTACAATTAGTTTAAGCAAATACCCAAATTAATTATCAAATGATGTAAGTGTTTGATTTGGATTTTATTTTGACGGTGATCTAAAAATATTATTATTTTATAGGACAAGCGATGATAATTCATTTTAAATCATTTATTTTTGGTAGTTTATCTTCATTTTATTACAAAATTCAACAAATATTATTTTATGATGATAATTTGTCATCATAAAATCTTTTGTTTTAACAAATATTTTTTTTTTTATACTTGTTACCTTGAATTTTTTTTATTTGTTTTTTCATTTTTTTTATTTTCATGTTGAAAAACCGGGGCAATCAATTTATATCAGTAGTTTTTACGTGCCGTAAGTTAATTGGTTCGTTCGATAAGAAAAAAAATCGTTGAAAAAATTTTATTATTTACAATTGATTTTTATTAATTTTAATGTGCTTTATATTTCTATTGATCTTTAACCCAATGAACCGCTGATAATCCATCAATGATTTTTATCGAAAAACATATATTATTCACTTCGTTTACGGAACTGAAAGTCTTGATTATATCTCATTGAACATAATACAGCGTAACGAGGGTCAGCTAGCATTGACATTAAAAACACATATCAGTTTATTATTACTTAATCGTCTTCAGCCGACTGGCTATTAATTTTCAATGTACAGGTTCTCTCACATTTAATAATTATAATCTGAACCGACTTTTTAATTGTATGCACGGTACAGTACAAGTTTATATTATCAGATAATCACTTATCACTAGTCTCGTTAATTCTCTAATTAAATTAATTTGTCATCAGTACATTCATTATTTGAGACCGCAATTATGGAACTAAATAAATCTACAAATAATATTCTCTAATTATAATTAAAATAATTATATGTTTTTACGTTACCGGTGGATATCAACTAAAAATTTTTTTAAATATATGTTTTTTCGGTGATAACATCTCAATCACTAAATGACCGATTTTTTATAACAGTTTATTGCCTTTATTTAACGCATTGATGCATAATTTATTGAACTGATTATTTTTGACGACAATCAAAAGCACATTGATAAATTTAGTAGTTTCATGCTTGAAAGTATATAGATGGTGGATACTGAGAACGGTTAGGTGTCATCAAAAGATAAAAAATGAACTATGTCTAAATTGAACGTGCCACTGATTCACAGGGTAGATAATATATGTTACAGAAGTAAAATAATAATAATAATACGCTGAAAAAAAAATTAACTAATTAATAAATTCTTGAACTAAGAAATTTTTCTGGGTTCAAGGAAATTCTATTTGATAAAAGAATTTTTGGTCTTGATTCGAGTCAATTAAACCGATCAAAATTATTTTTTAATTCAACAATTTTTCTCTCAAATCAAGTTAATTATTTTTTCAGTGTAATAATAATAATATTGAACAATACAAAATTTCAGTTACTTTCTATCGATTGTAGGTTACCCAGTAGTTGTTAGATGCCAATTTCAGAGCAAAGTTATTAGTAAAACTCATAACTAAAGGGCCGCCTCAAATCCAGAGCTTCCAGTAGTTGAACTTACCAAGCCATACAATGTTCACTGGCGCGTATCAATTACTCAATTATTTTTACATTGGAATCTCAATCAAAGCCTACTGTAGTGTTCTTTCAAAATATTTTTTCTTCCAACTTCTCAACCAAGAATTAATGATCATTCAAATCAGCGTCTGGGAATATTTTTTAATTCGACTATCTAGCCGATAAATAAATACGACATTACTGTCGTATGTCACGAAAAATTTCACTCAGATAAGAGCAAAAGAGGTCGGTAGTTTTTAACAGGTGAAAAATATTGGAGGTTGGAAAATTTTATAATAGCTGTCGGGTGGCTATTTGTCCCGGTAAGTCGTTCATCTAACGTAACGACGAGTAATAAGGCGTAAAAGCCATTAGGTCGCTAAGATCTAATACGCCCTCCCATTTCTCCTCGAGGCACCAGCTCGGAGAACGCTCACGAGAATACGATGAAAGAGGATTTTTTACTTTCTTACAACGAGAGTACAACGAGGGTCGAGTAGTTCCTGAGGGTTCAATCGGTTTCCCCAGCCTGCTCTCGGGAAATTCGTCTCCTCTTCTATCTTCTATCTCACAAAGCCCCTACATCATTTCCTTCCTCTCCTGTTATGTGTCTCAGACCTTATTCCATTCCATTCCTCCTCATCTTCTTTAGCGTACATATACTACAAACACTTTATCTCCGAGTTTTTCTCTTCACGAATTTTTCCAAATTCCGATTTCGAGTCGGAACCACCGCAAGAATTGTCTCTTTGGAATCTTTAACAAATTCTACAATGTCAAATTTGTAAAAATATTTTCCGTGTCTCTTTTATAACGTTCATCCTTCCAAGTTCTCGAAAACTTTAATCCTTACGTGGCAGAAGAGCTATCATTTTTTTTTGATACATTGAGAAGAATAGAAAAGACACATGAATGAGTGAGAGAGTGCTGCTAGTTTGGAGATATAGACGCCGGATTTATGTTTTTTTTTTTTTTTTGTTAGTTCACCCCTTCTTAGGTCTTACACTTCTACTTCAACTTTTAGATCTTTTATCTCGAAAAAGGTTGATCCAAAGTAAGAATAAGAGGTGGTTGCACTTCCTTACCGAGGTAAACATAGCCTGACACAACACTTAGCTAGGAAAGTGAGTTGCGGGGGTGGATATGCAACAGTATAGTTATACAGCAGAAAGTGAGGGGCGGATGATTCGGAAGAGGCCAGAATCATCAGGGATATGGTTTGGTGGGAATGCGGATGAGATGGGGTAGTAGTGTAGTCGGGAAGGAGAGCTTTCGGTTTGAGTTGGTGCTACTGGGGCTGGCGGATGCGGGGTCAGGGATGCTGCACGCTAGGTCGTTGGGGATGAAAAGAGGCGACGTCGGCAGTCACTGGAATCTAGTCGTTCTGTTCGGTCGTCCCAGTGTTCTCTGTGGTGGTAGTTTTATCTTGCTTCGGCTGTGCTCAACAATCGCATTGTACGTGACTCAAGCTGCACTGCTGCTGACTAAAATACTGAATTCCCGTGACAATCTGTCTATTTTCAGAAGACCCCTACTGGCGTACTCGTTACTCGTGGATTACTGTTAGGTGTTCTGCTACCATTTTTTTTTTTTTTTATTCTATCGCTTGAATTTATTTTATTGTGAAACATAAATTTTGTGCACCTTCTGTCTTATAAAGATTTTTTCCATTTTTTCATTTTTCGTCGCTAACTTCCTATTGTTTACAACTCCTCTGTACCAGAGTACTGAGTGCTTGTAAATCTTGGCTGTTTATGTTTATCCAATTAATTAGTGACCTCGATTCAAGGTTTATGCAGATGCAGTTGGATCCTCGATTTAGTTACACATTGTTGATTTTATTTACTGCCACAGATGGTTCTAGTTATTTTCGTTGTTTTGACGTTACTGTTCATTATAATTACTGTGCTCAGTTTATAATATAACACAATAATAATTATCTTATATTTAGTGAATTCGTGGATAATATTTGTGTTAAATTAAATTGAATAAAAATATTTTCTTATAAAGCTTTAATCATTAAGCAGTTAACAGAAAATATAAAATAGTTTATGTCTAGTTTGAATTTTAGCTTGTTTTGTTTTGCCAACCGGCAGTGCGTGCTACTATACGAGAGTTTTAGTTGATTGTGTACAAATACGAGGAAAATTAATGATAAACATGAAGCACAGACAAATATTATTCAACATCATGGAAGGTATCATGCTTGTGGAGATTCAAGTACAATCGTATAACAAAATTAACAGCAAAGTGGTTTTGAATTTCTCCCGTAATTAATACTAATGACATGAGCAGCCAATACTTGATCACTGGTTAACCATTTCAATTTTATCTTATAATTTTAATCAAGATTAAAATTATAATTACAATTATGATAATGATTATGATGATGATGAAGATGATCATGACAAGTGAAATGGCAAAAAGGGATTGTACGATTATCTGACAAACAGCCCTAATAGTTGTGCGAGCTAGTACTCATTTGTGATGAGCTGATGATGTGATAGTGACATGAGTGAATGCTGAAGATTAATGGATAAGTGATATGACATTGAAAGAATTCTGTCACCCGTCATGAATAGTTGACAGATAGAATATAGCGAAAAAAATGGAGAAAAAGTGAAGCCACGGAAGCGTAAATATAGGCAAGAAATTCACTCGAAATGTACGCACACGTTCATGGAGAAAATGGCACGTGCTGTTATCTACCAACAGTGCTTTACCTTGAACGTTACCGTAAGTTCACAAAATAACTAAACCACTTACGTACTTTCAGATAATAGTTTTTTGGATTTTTTTACATCCACATGTAACTTAGTTATCCAGATTAGCCATAATCATGATAAAGTATTTGAGATAAACCAGTTGCTGCTGTTTATTCTTTTAGAGTTTCTGCTTCTGCTTCTGTATATATATATTTGGATTGAAAGAATTTTAAATAGAAACTAGAGATAAAAATGATGCTTGCGTTGTTGATATATTTATAAAGATAAGAGAAATGAAATT